AGTTTTCGGAAAGACAGTATCATTCCTGAGATCAAGTTCTCTGTTATCTGTCTTCAGTGCCCATATTTATCCAGCTGAAATCATCTAATACTGTGGGCTTACACACAAAAGTGCACTGGTGACCGTCAGATGTATAAAAGGCTCCCCTTAAAAAAAAGTATATTTTCAAGGCAATGGGTTGCTTTTGGGTTTGGGAAAGGCTCCATATCAGAGACGCTGAGGATTTTTTTTTTAAAACACAGAGCTTTCCACCTGTTTCTGTGTATATCAGAATGGAAAAATAAACTGGAGAGTTGGAGAGTTCATGTTCTTTTAAGCATTCCAGGTGATTCCAATACATTTTCTGTTCTAGAAAGATTTTTGGCTTACTTCGAGTAACCTGATCCAACATCTTACACTTTTTTTCCTGCCAAGAAGTTCCTTATGTTTACTTCTCACCTATTCTTTCTTTGTTTAGTTCTCACTGAAAGAGAAAGGATAATTCATAAACATCTTACATATGTATACAGCGGGGAATGTGAATAATGATAGTTTTCTTGGGGACCGAGGGCAAGCTAGTTGGAAACCTCAGCATCCCCCAGTGTTGAAATAATCTCTTGACCAGATGTTTCCTTCACGGTTTGGAACAGGGCACAGAGGTCCCAGTGGAAGCCTCTTTGGACCCTAGCTTGGCCAGCTGGATCAGCTGCAGGTGGAGCAAATGGGACCCAAGGGCCTCATCAGGTCACCTTGCTGAGTATGAGTCAGGTCAGCAGCTCTTTATTTCTTCCTGTCTCCCCCACTTCCCACCACTCATCTCTGTGGGCAGCTGCCAGAGCAGGGAACAAGAGTCAGGCAGGGAGAGGAGGGATTTTTTAATGGATCCTCCATCTCTTCAGTGGTTTGGGGTCTGGCAGAGATAATCCAGACCTGAACCAAATTGGCTCCTCCCCTGATGGATTTCGGTTAATGCAATAGCTGCCGAGAAGCAAGGCGATCTCAGGGAAACAAAATCAATTTCCCCTAGCTGCACGAGAAGCACAGATCAAACGCCCACATGTCTTTTTTCTTATTTATTTATCTGTTTGTTTACTTATCTTTTTTATCTGTCTGCTAGCCATGGAGCTCTAATTGCTGCTCATGGTTGGCTTCCGGCCACTGAGGAAGCCTCTCTCTTAGTGTCTGACCTTTGAAGAGACATAGGAGTGGTCAAATGCAAAGTGACTCCTAGAAACTCTGGTGATCCAAAACACTCTTCCGTATCCCTTCATATGGGATACAACTTAACAGTCACAAGAGTCAGCAAAGGAGGCCTGGCTGTCTGTTATCTGGCTGGTTACAGACAGGGAAACAGCAGAAATCTAGCAGTCTATTGCAATATCATTCCACTGTCGGGGGATAATCCTGATAACACATCCTTGCTCCTTTTTTCCGTAAACTAGCATACAACATATTCCAATTCATTCTGTCGTCATCATATGCAATTGGTGTTGATCTTTGTAGACTATTTTTCACCACCGACTCCTTGTATCCTTCCACCTCCAATACTCTGTTTACTTACCTGTCACACTCATTCAGTTGCCTCTTTTGCACCTCTTTTCTACTCCTTTCCTTCTTGTCATCTTCTTGCACATTTCATTGTCTGCATCCACACTCAAACTCATACATGTGCGTGTGATGTGTGTGCATGCACATATGTGTATAGATATGCATTAAAATTTAGGATCTGCATATGAGAGTTTATACGGCATTTGTTTTCTGAATTTGGGCTTTCTTGCTTAATATTGGGGAATTTTCATTGTTTCATTTTTCTTCACAGTGAAATAAATTTTTGTGTTTATATACCCATATTTTCATTAAGAATTCATATGTTGTTAAGAATCTAAGTTGTTTTTGTTTTCTTGATATCATGAAGACCAGGAACAAGTAAGGATGTATATATGTCTCTGTGGTAAAAATACAGTCCTGTACATGTATACTCAATAATAGTATAGCTAGGTATATGGTATTTCTTATTATTAATTTTTGAGAAAATTCTAAGCTTATTTCCAGAGTGGTCTCAGTGGTCTGAATTCCTATGAGCCGTGAATAAGACATCTTTCCCCACATCTTCATCAACATTTATTGTTATGTGTTTCCTTGATTATAGCCTTTATCACTGGGGTGAGATGGGCTCACAATCAATTTAACTTGCATTTTCTAATGGCTAAGGATGTCGACCACTTTAAAATATTTATTGACCAGTTGTATTTCTTCTTTTGAGAACTGCCTGGTCATTTCATTAGGCTATTTATTGGTTGACAGTTTATTGGTGAGCAGGTATGTGTTGCTTTTTTAATTCTTCATATAATCTAGATATTAACTCCTTGTCTGAAGAATTTTCTCCCATTCTATAAGATTTCTAGTCACTCCAATGACAGGATTTTTTAGCTGTGCAGAACATTTTTAAAAATCTTATCTAGCCTAAGGCTGTTGTAGATGCCACTTTATTTGTGGTTTTAAAGATACTCAACTAGATATATACACTGCAAGTATATCCCGATGAACAAGGACCCTAGAGAATATAAGGTCATCTGAGTGCCAAATGATACCTGTCACCAAGCCAAAGTTTTATTCCAGACATCCTGGGGAATGTCAAAGTCCCCATTATCATTCCACATTTCACCTCATAATTTTTCTCCAAGTTTCTAGATCTTGTAGATGAGATCAATGGAGGGGCATTATATAGAGAAGCCTGAATGTTGTAAGTCTCAGTTGGGCTCCAAAGAGGAAGCAAGCGTAGAGGACAAGGCGCTAATAATGCAGTTTTGTAGAAGCTGTTGCTACAGTCCTTCTTGTTTCTGCCACTTGCAGCCTCCTAACTTTCAGCTTGGTGCTCTCAGAGATGCAAATGGAGCTAAACTGTCACTCTCCTGTAAGAAGAGATGGCTACTCTTGGCATAAAAGGCATAAATAAAAATCTAGAAAATAGCCAGGCGATGGTGGTTTATGCCTGTAATCTCAGAACTAGAGAGACAGAGGCAGGTGTGTCTCTCTGAGTTGAAGGCCAGCCTGGTCTACAGAGTGAGTTTCAGGACAGCCAGGGCTGTTACACAGAGAAACCCTGTCTTGAAAAACAAAACAAACAAGCAAAATGTCTATAAAAGAATGAACAGATGGAAACTAACCCAAGTCTCACATGTCCACATTATCCCAGAAGACAGCAATAGCCCTCTCTTATCAGTCAACTTTCACTTGCTGAGGAAATATATCGAAGGAAATGTTGGGTTAACTTTAACATGTCCACAAACGTAGGTGAAAAGTTAGCCAAAGGCTGATTTGTGATACTCATGGAACTCTCCAAGAGAAATCAAGTAGCTGGTTTCTAGCAATATTAGCAACATGTTTGCTACCATGGCATTCAGAAATCTAATTCTACTTTTTGATTTTTCTAGAAAACCTTTTAGCTGCAAAAATGTAGAAAAATTAAGGCATATGAGCAAATAGAATGATAATACATAAGTGAAAGATTTACAGTGAATCTGAATAAAGGAGGAATTAGAAAGCCAAGAGCTTCTCAGAGGCACGTTTTTTTTTTCTCAGTTTTAATAACCAAAATTTCTCCAGACAAAGCTAAATACTCTCTGTGGAAAAGAAGATACAGAACCAAGTCTCACCCATCACTATTCCATTGAGAATATTTGCCTAAGTTCACGACCACCTTACTCCAAGACCACCTGAATGCAGTCTGTCATTGGAGAGAAAAATAAAATGCATATATGTATCATATTTCCAGGGAATATATTCAATGGAAGTGAAATACCAAAAAAATTATATCATTTGCATAGTAGGCACAGGTCAATGTCACACACAACTGGAATCCAAGCATCCTGACTTTTCTTACCACACTGTGATACTAGTAAAAAAGATGGTGTTAATGGAGTGTATGAAAATTCCAAAACTTGTACCAACAAACGTCAGCAGTGTGTTCTCCAGTGGTTTTTCCAGTGCCCCATGGAAACATACAAAATAGTACAAATATTACATATTTGCCTATCTAAATTGAGTTTTTATTCTTGGTTCAAATTAAGCTAGTCTCACCATCTTCTTGCAATCTTCAAGCTTTGCATTTTTTCTTCTTTTTTAGACCACTATCCAGCTACCTGCAACCTAGGATAACTAAACTAAAATTAAGGGAAGCCTGAATAAGGCAAAGAACAAAATAGGGTATGTCGAGGACACAAGAAATATGGGTAAATTTATTTAATGGCTACCAAATGGTGCTAACTTTGGATATAGACCAAAAAGTATTTATGACTGCCTAGAAAATAAATAACATTTACTACTAATAAAGGTATTTTTGGTGGGGATAATTGATATTTAGCAAGTGTGTATATGTTTATCTGATCATTGTCCTCTAAAGTAACTACCAGAAAAGCTCATAGAGATTAGCTTTATTAAGGAGCACTGATATTATACTGGACTATTATGCTGTTATTGGAAGTCAGAATGGATAAAAGTCTTAAAAATTTTATTACATTCAGAAGTGTTCTATGGTATAGATTTTAACTGTGTACTATTTGTTTTTAATTGACACTATGACTAGAAGCACTAAGGCTCTTCTCATTCCAGTTTATAGATTTAGAAGATATATAATAAAGAGCTGTTGACTACTGTCTTCATACTTACCTATAGAAACGGAATGAATTCTTCCTATGCAACTGTATTTTGGTACCCATTATTCAGTCTCAACTGCTCTACCTCTATTGATCACGGTTCTTTTCTCTTATACTTTGATGTCTATTTTAGACTATATTTTTAAGTGGACACCCTGTAAGTGAGAAAAAGGAGACAAAGCTATTGATAGCAACCCTGTCTACTACCTCAATTTTCCTTGAGTTCTCAATTAATTTCAAGAAATCTCATTCATAGCTTCAGATTAAGAGTAGAAGAGGTGAGAGTGTATTTTCCTATACTCCCATTTTCCTCACTTCCATCACCCCAAATCTCCACAACCTACTCAATCCCTGAGATAGTCTTACCTCCTACAAACTGTGCAGCTCCCATGCAACGCCCCATCATTCTAGAGATGAGTTCTTCCATGCAGCATCCTAAGACAGCAGCCAGTGCCACCAGGAGTAGCAGCGCACAGCCGGCACCTGTCACCACTGTACACATCTGCCATGCCAGGCTTGGTATGGCGGTGAAGCTGGCATAGCGCCCACATTCTTCCACCATGATCAGATTGTGCCCGTCTCCCCGCACAGGATAGTTGCATCTCCTGAATGTACTGAAAGAGACTGGCTTCCCTAGCTGTGATCCAAACAGCCAATAAGGAAGAAAGTAACTGGTAGAACTTGCCACAGCAGTAACTAGAGACAGGAAGGCCCAGAAGGTGCCTACCAGGGTGAGATTGCTCCTCATGATCTCAGGTTTCTCTGAAAGGATGGGAAGATGAGATGGTTCACAGCAGCAAAAGCAACAATGTAGGCTCCACTGGCCTGTTTTCATCAGGTTGGCAGGTCCTGGGAATCACAGGTGTGCCATGTGGCTCTTGCTTCTGGAGGAGATCATTCTCTCACGTGTCATTTGGGTCTTTGTGGGATGTTGCTTTCCATCATCCTTTCCTTCTGCCTACTTCAGAGTTCTATGGTTGCTAGGCTGCAGTGGAAGAGTCACAGAACTGAATTAGTGACTGCTATGGTAATGCGAATGAAGCCTGATCAGTCAGCGTATTTCTCTTGTCACACAATATGGAACCAATCATGAGAAGAGACTATGAAAGTAAGGCTGTCACAAGACTCCCTGGGGATTTTAGTTAGATGAGTTTTGACACAGTTTTTCAGAAAATAAAGAGGAACAAAAGTCACGTGTCTGCCCCTATTTTAGAGGTAAGAGGGCATTGTAAGATGTTCCATTTTGACTTAGAGTGTCCGACAATGTGTATGCTTTTCACAGAAATATCAAAGCTAAACTGGTAAGATAAAATAAATGTTGCCTTGTTTTGTATTGTATAACTATTACTGGGTCACATCCCACACAAGAACTGAGCAGCAACCTGCCAGCCAGCAGCGCTTACGCCTAGACTAACTACCAAGAAAATCATCCACATCCTATGCTGTTAATAAAGTTAATAAAGCTTCTCATCTTCCAGAAACATATCAAGATCAGGCTTTCTCCAGGGAAGGAACATATATGTACAGCCGCATGGGACTTTCAAGATTCCCTTTGGAACAAGTAAGCTCAGTTTCAGGATACTGGCTTTCCAGTTGCTAGTAGCCTCAACCCAGCTCACAAATGGCTTTCCCAGACTCTCCTCTGTCAAAAATCAACCACTTCCTTTCCAATCCATTAACCTGCCATTGCTTTCTGGCTTGTTTCTCCACTAATGCAGCCAGAGACCACACTGTAGCTTGATGAAAGCGCTGCAAATGTCTCTAGCAGGCAGATGGTAGAATGTTTCAGAAACTTCTCTCTGATTCACCACCACTTCTTAGAATTTTAAGTTGTAGTGAAGGCAACTTAAAGTGTAGTTGAAGGGTGAAGGCAAAACACAAGGAGTATAGGGACTAGCTGTATGAAGCCACCATAATGTCACTTTAGGAGATCAACAGGAACAAACCTCATCTGTATCTAGGGTGTCAGGATCTAGCTGTATGCGATTTGTAAGCATCATCAGATACTGCTTGGACAAGGCATGCAGTACAATTCATATTTGCTTAATGAACGTTAAAAAAAATCATCCAATTCCCAGAATGGCAGAAAATTTAATGAATCACCTAATTCAGCCTTCTTGCTTTACATATGGGTGAGTTTGGCTCAGCAAAGCAGGAAGTGATTTTTTTTTCAGTCACAGTTAGTAACCAGACACACCGGAACCAGAAACTTGAACTGCAGTTTACTAGTCCAGAGTTTGGAGACCACCACACAGTGCTAACCTGCCCTTGCCTATCGTTTTACAGATGTGAATCTGTGGAGGAAGTTCTTTACCCAAGGGGGAAAAGCTAGAGGGGTACACAGAACAAACTAGGGTCCAATGATTTTTTTTCCCCAGTATTATGCTCTTTTTCCACTCCATCACAATTCCCTTCTTGAAACATATGTGTTTTGTGCAGGAAGGGAGCCGAGACCATAAATTGCAGGTGCTTACTTTGGAATGTTAAGGTTTGCAAAGAAAGTACCATGATCTGGTCCCCTGAGGATGAGGCTTTCTGCCTGAGAGTTAGGAAAATGAAAGAAAGATGTGGTGAGGGATTGGAGGCCAACAGGGGAAGGAGTGGAACTGGTTTGAGTAATTGCTTTTAGAAGGCAGCTATCCTTTGCCACAATGAGGTAATGCTTCTGTGTGTTATGTTGGCGTTTGTAAGAATATGAAAAGCAACATCAGCACTCCATCGTGGACTTCTTAAGGAGACCAGATGGGGAGAAAGAGAAAGCTAGTAAACAGCTACTGGCATCATCATCAATACCCTTTCTCAACCTATCATTTCATGTGCTGTGCTCAGAAATTATCTCGGGTTTGTAAGTATTAGCTCTCCAATTCCAAATAAGCAAACTGATGGTCAGACAGTCAAATGATTTTCACAAGGATACATGATGACTCAATAACAAAATTATCATTTCTCGCTCTCCTACCTACAACCTTCTCTTCTTGCACAGTGTTACCCCAATAGAATTATAGTATCATCCTGTATTATTACACTTAAAAGTCTTCATGGTGTCATATCCACAAAAGTACTTCAGAATGAATCAAAAATTACAAGCCAAGACAGAGAAGTTGAGAAGAATGTCCATTTCTCAAGACACAACATATAACAAGAGTGTCGACCGCTTCAAGCCCAGCACTTGTAGCTGAACATCATCACCTCGAGCTCATCCAGCATGATGACTAGGAAGAATGGCAGAAAATATAGGGCAGAGGAAGACAGTAGCATCAGTGAGTGATAAACTGTGGTGGAAGAGAAACCCAGCATTGTAGAGTCTGCACCTAAACTCACAAGTGCTGGAGAGGGAAAGGCAGTGGGATTGAGAGCTTAAGGCCATCCTGGGCTACACAGCCTGGCACTTTCTCAGATATGTGCAACTAGGGGAGATTCTAATGTAACATTGATCTAATCAGTGAAAACAAATGCTGTTAACTGAAGTAAAATACTACCAAACATTGCCATCATAAAATTTAATTACAAATATGGAATTGTGAAACCAGCATGTAGGAAATTAGAAGTTAAATTTTAGTATGAATATATTTAACTAAAGAAAACTCATTGTTATAAAACTTAAATAATTTAAACTTTGGTTAAAAAATGAATTTCCTTATTTTCATTGAGACTTTAGTAAACAACAAAAGCTGCCTGGAACTGAAGGATTTTCTGTAAGTAACGTGGGCTTGTCTGTGACAAATTCAGAAAAGGCCAATGCCACCTGGGGTGAGACGGTCACCATATGTAGAATTGGAGATGTGGTTAGCCAGCATCATCAGTGGGCGGCAGGTTGAGAATCACTGCAATCGATAACTCTCTAACAAGCTCTCTCCATGACTCAAAAGATATGAAGTTAAAACTGGCCAAGAAAGCCAATATTGGAAAGATGAAATGTATACATTTTGCCTCATGCCTCTCTCAATCATGGACCCTTGACCTTATCAGATTAATGCTTAGATTGTGGGGGTTTGGTTGCTTATTATTCCTGGTCAGAGAAACAGAAGTGTACATGGAGTCTGTGCACCCACATTGCTGCATGATCCCAGTTGTTGGGTAGTGAAGCACAGTTTAGCAACTGCTTTTAGTTACATCACCTGGAACGGAGTAAACCCCTTAATGGAAGCCTTCTAAAGCAATCCGAGTTCATTCCCAGAAACTGGTTCAGTCATTTTATTCTCACTTCAATAAATATCACAAACAATGCTGTCCTTCATTGTATCCTAATGTCCCATACATTTCGTATTGCACTACCTCTGTTTCCCTGTCCTGCAATGTCTAGCTATACAGATACACTGCATTTTAGAAATCCAGACATCTCCACTGTGCTTCCATTAGCCAAGCATTGGTTGGTAGAGATTTCACTTTGGTATGATGTGTTCCTTTATTAGTATATTTTTCCATCCACCAAAAGGAGTACTCCCCTTCTCTCTATAGCAACTATTGTCATAGGATTTTCTTAGGTTTTGCTATCACATGTATCTACTCTGATGTGATCACTTAATACCAATTAAATTAGAGACATTTGTGCTTATGTTTTGCATAAGGGAAAAGGTAAGGGGACATTTTCACCTACCTCACTTCTTCCCCAGTCCTGGTAGAAAAGCTCACAAATCTTTTCATTCCCACTGGAGTGCATTGTATAAATTCTGAGTTAAAAATAAATAAAACAGTTCCCAAGGGCAACAGGATTCACACAAAAGAGACTGTGAGCTGTAGGTACTGAGGCAAAAAATGACTTCAAGCATGCATGTATGACAAGTAGGTTTATTGGCATTAGTGTGAGTAAAAGATATGGACAAATCTTTCTCTCAACTCCCGGGCAGCGTGTACTGGCTACCTGCCAATCCTGCTACATGTATATCTTCTTCAGTATTGACACGTTGCCGGGAAATGAGCAAGACGTACAGACATGTATGTCTAATTGGTGAAGTTCTCTTGTATCGGGCTAACTATATAGTCAGTCAACCTAGACCTTTCTCATTTAAACAATACCTCAATAAAGTCTACCATGTCTCAATCATTTCCTGACTACCTTTTCTGCCGCCTACACTCTCAGAAGCATCTGCTCTATAATAACAAGAGCTCCAAGGCCTTCTGTGCTTGACTCCCTCTCAAGAAAATGTCACTCAATGGGTTTTATTTTCTACTAGTACATTTGTGACTCTTAAGAACATCTCAATATTTTTTTACTTCAGTTTTCAAGATTGCTGGAACTTCTTTCAGGCCGCCTGCCCCAGCCATCCCCGCTTTTTTTATCTGGCATGGAAAGAGTTTCAAAAGCAGCTGTGTTGTGTTAGTTTGTTTATTTGCCTTTACATAACCATCCTTAAGTACATATCTCTGAGACTAAAACTTGAGAATAAATCCAGGAAGCAAGACAGTAAGTGGATACAGAGAACCACCTGAGCAACCAAATATCTAGAAAATTGAGGTTGTTGTTCTGATACAGCCATGCTCTCTGAACCTTTGCAGTACACTCAATCAACTTAATAAAAAACCTAGGAGGTCACCTCTAAATAATAGAGTTAACCATACATTGTTACAAGGAAAAACACAGAAAAACTCCACATATACTAAGCCGTTCTCCTTCTCAAGAGTTTGAGGTTGAAAATGTGGGAACTAGAATGACTTCCCAAATTTCATGTGAGTGTCTCCTGACTCTGACGTCTACTTCTTGAACACCCATCTCTCTAATGCTTTGTCAACCAGCAAAAATGATATCTAGGCAGAAGGCCAGTACCCCATCTTCAATAATCAAATGGTAGACATTTGGCTCATTCAAAACTGCCCCTCAGTTGGTCTTTCAAAATAAAGATAAACCCTATCAAGGGAATGGCTAGCAAAGCATGCATTCTCTCCTCCACCTTTCGGTTCATAATGGCAGCCTTTTATTGCTGTACAATAAACCTTTTTTACATGTCCTCAGACAGAATAAAATGCCACCACATCTGAACAGAAGGCAGGATAATTGGTTTTCTGTTTAGTTCAGAATAGTTTGGATGCAGCATGGTATACTGACAAGTCTCTGATATTAGGGAGCTCTAACTTCCCTGCATCAGGATCACTCTAGATGCTCTTTCAAAGAGCTCTCTCTCTCTCTCTCTCTCTCTCTCTCTCTCTCTCTCTCTCTCTCTCTCTCTCTCTCTCTCCAAGAGACACTGAATTCTATTTAATGAGAATCTTCAATTTGCAATTTTTAAAAACCTGAGTCTATTCTGCCATTCTGATGGAAACTCGGGACTGAGGAATACTCTTTTAGTGGAAACGAGTGAGATTTGGGAATCAAATTTGATGCAAACACCTGAGGTTTTTCCCTTAAAGGCGACATGACTATGGGAGAAACCACTTCAAACTTCTGAGTTTCTATTTCATCTCTTCTGGAAATAATGCACAAAGTTCAAGTGAAGCAAAGTTTACCTGGCACCAGAGTAGCTGTCATTCATTCTTTGTGCTGCCAAAGAATACAACATTGTCTCATACCAGAGATAACTTGATATTACTCAGAAGAATAAAATCTCTTCTATTCTCCCCACACACACTACCCTCCTCCCACTCTCTGCCCTCCCCCTACCCTCTGTCCTGTCCCCCACCCCCTGTCCTTGAAACCTCTCTAACAATTGTTGCTCCTGGGCTGTTTAATTTCTCCTTTCCCACTATAAAGCGAAACTACTTGGCTGCGTGTTCTTTGTTAGCATGGCTTAGCAGTTAACTTCTTTCAGCTTCCTTGGAAATCATCCTGCTTGGCACATAGTAGGAACTCATAAACATCTTCTGAATGAATGCCGTGATTTAACGCCGGCCCTACTGCTTGCTCTCAACATCTGTGTTTCAGTTTAACCTGATCATTGTTTCAGTCCCGTAATTTCAATTGAGGCAAATCTAAGACATTGCCCTACCACATCGGGAAATCAGATCCATTTTTACTTGGACGGACAAGTCAGAACAAAATCCCTCCCTCTACTCCCAGAGCCTCTTCTCTCCTCAAGTTACCAACTCCCTTGGGGGAAAGCAGCTAGCTCTTAACCCTTAGGCCTTCAAACCTTGTCTATATGAAATAGGAATCCAGCACTGATCCCGCTTAGACTGCAAACAACCAACTATGAGAAAAGAAGAATCCACCAGGCTGCCCTTGGGAAGAAAAAAAACAGCTTCTCTGAGCTTTGACATGAAAGGACAGGAAGCCTGAGAAAGGAAGCGGCAAAGAAGAGCTGAGCAAAGGGAGGAAAGCAGGGGGTTTTGTCCAGCTGCTTCAGTTGCATTTGGCTGAGATGCATATTTACCTTCTAACCATGAAGGCTGATTGACTTGTTCCCTTTCTTCTGATTCAGATTTGAGAAGAAAGAAAAAAAATAAAACTTCTCACAGCTTGTCAGACAGGGATGGGAATCCCAGTTGCTCTTTGCAGTGACGCCTGAAAACCTAGCTGTACCTTGGGGAGAGAGGGGCGGAGTCCGGTGTAATGGGAATTAACTCCAACTATGCTGGCGGCTGCAAACTCATCCTCTGACATGCAGACACTTGAAGTAGAAACCAGCTCAGCGGGCACTAAGCTCTCAGCTCTCACTCTTACCTCCCAGCTGCTGAAGTCAGCTCGCTCTCTCGCTCTCTCGCTCTCTCTCTCTCTCTCTCTCTCTCTCTCTCTCTCTCTCCCCCCCCCCCCCGCTTGTGTGAGTGTGTGTGTGTGTGTGTGTGTGTGTGTGTGTCTATACTCACTCTTAAACTGCATTTCAAAGGCTCAGTTCCTCACCTACTGAGCCAGGTGAGGAACTGAGGTTCTCCCTAACTTTTTCTCCAAAGCTCTGAATAATCTCTACCACAGGGATTAAACAGTTGAAAAATGAAAACTGAGAGAACACACGCACTCTTAAGCAGAATTTTCCTTTAAACTGATGTCTATTATTTTGGGGAAAATAATACTCCAATAGAGAAACCTTAGACTATGTGATGATGCAACCTAACCTCTAAGAAAAATACTGTGGACTGGAGAGATGAGCTCATGTGTAAAAATGCTTGCTGCCCAAACCAGAAGATCTGTGTTTGGTCTTCAGAACCTATTGTAGGAGAGAAGAGACTCTGGATAGTCGTGTTCGGAACTCCACATGCATGAGGTGGCACAAATATATCTGCAATCACAGCCCCACAACACCCACACAAACAGTAATAGCAATGCATAGAATTAAAACGTCAAAGATGAAATCGTGAGGAGCCAGATGTGCTGGCACACAACTCTAATCCCAGTATGCCAGAGACTGAGGCAGGGCGATCACAAGTCCAAGGCTTACTTAAGCCATACATTAAAAGAGTTGTAATACCTTCTGAAACAATAGTAGCACCAAACATCAGTGTCTAACGTATCTAAAAACACAAGGAAGTTCTCTTTTCTCTTTGGGAAAAGAACCCAGTGATGTGTAGATGACTAACTTCCCTGAAGCCCTGCTCCAGCCTAACACCATCTCTCTCATCTCTGAGCATCCCTGGCACACTGCATTTATTTTCGGAAACTTGTCAGCATCCCTCTTGTACTCTTGTGCATATGGATCTTATTTCACCTTCTATCTAGACGCCTTGTGAACAAAGAATTTGGCTCAAAATGAGCTATAAGGAGGAAGGCTTAGCAAAGCATCCTTACATGATCTAAAGCTGCCTCTACAATGACTCAATTACCTTCAAAAAGATGCTCTTAAAGCTGTCAGTCTTGTTTTTCTGCATCTTACAACAAAAGTACAAAAGGCAAAGGTAAATGAATTAGTAGCTTGATATATTCATTGTACTATAATTATTTAATGAGCCTACTAACCTGTCTGCCTAGATACATGCATAAATCCTGCCCTGTCTTTTATCATCTATATTCATACACACATTCATTTATCAAGCTATTTCCTGTCAGCAATTTTTAACCATATTTTTTCTTCCTCAACCCCCTGATAAACCACAGTCCCATCTTTAATAAGTGCTTACTGAGGCACTTCCTGCATGGAGGTACAGCTGACTTCTTGCATAGAATGCCTGACTTTTGGCAGTGTAAACTCATCTGAAATTTTCAACAGTCTCCCAGTTGTTACCTGCCTAGGAGTCACTGATTTAGACATAGGACCATGTAGAGCAGTGGTTCTCAACCTGTAGGTCGAGACCCCTTTGGGGGTCAAATGACCCTTTCACAGGGGTCTCACATTTAGATATGTATAAAACAATCCATAACAGTAGCAAAATTAAAGTTAGCAAGTAGCAGCCATGCAATTTTATTGTTGGAGGTCACCACAGCATAAGGAACTGTATTAAAAGGTCAGAGCATTCGCACACTTGAGAACCTCTGGTGTAAAGAGAAGTGTATGCCTTCTTGCATTAAAACAAGTCAATATGTGCAGACACATAGAACCTGTGAAAGATATGGCTGAAAACTTTGGCAGGCACAAAATAGTTGGTTCTACTCTGAACCCTGTATATATTACCTTGTATTTAATAAATACACCCATCATTTGGAAAATTGTCACTATTTGGAACTCAGAGAAGGCTGCCTTTTTTACTTCCCTCTTTTTAATCTTTTTTTTCCATTGGGCCTCCAGTTCTCTTGAATGGGGAAGTAGAGGTACCTACGTACATACTGAATAATGATAATGTTTATTTTTCTTATTTTTAACCTAACAGTTGAAAAACTGACTCAGAAAGAAATACTTTTGATCTTGTGAGACTGGATTTCTGTTCATTTAAGTATGCTATTTAGCTGACATGAAACTCACACCTATAATCCTATAGCTCTGGAGCCTAACACAGGAAGATCCCAAGTTTCTTACCAATCTGGCCTGCATAGCAAGAGTCTACCTCAAAAACAAGGCAAAACAAAGGAAAGCAAAATAAATGACTTTAAGCCATGCTTCCATAAGACATTTAAGACAAATTGAGAAGTATACACTTCTTATATTTAAACAATAAAATGTTAAACAGTGGTTATAATAATGTTAAAATTCCTACTGACCATGGAACATCTAAATTTCCTATCTAAAATATACAAAGAGAGCACATGGCTGGTGGGTGGTTCTAACTCACATGGCCATCCCTATCCTTAGTTTCTCATACATTGCTTTATACATACGTTAGCATTTCCCACGCAAGAGTAATACTCCCACAACATTTTGTTGTCTAGACAAGGAGTCAACAAGCCAGAACCCATGCATGCCAAATCTAGTAGGCTGTCTCTTTGTCTAAAGCTTTATGGGCACGCAGCCACAGCATATTCATTTCTGTATTTATTATCTATGGTGCTTTCATGCTACCATGGAAGACGTGAGTAGTTATAAAAGAGATCTTACGGTGCACAGAGCCTGAAGATTTATTATCTGGCTTTTTACTGAAAGAAAAATGTGTTAACTCCTGGTATAGACTCATGACCTATAGATTATAGCAGAGACACAGTGCTAATTGTAAAGAGAAAGAGGTAAAAATGGAAGAGGAGAAAGGGCAAAAAGCAGAAAAGCCATTTGGTTCCAGCTGTGGTATATTGCCAACCAATCCATACCACTTCTTTAATTTCTACCAGCTAAGAGTCACCAATACTCTAGTGTTCACTATAAGCCAGAAAGCTAGTGGTGCTGTGAAACTTTCTCTGTTAACTAATCCTTTGGATCTCTATCCAGATTTCTCACATTTCAACTTTTGCTTTTTAGTTCGAGCAGCTTATTCTTCCATGGTCTTGTTTGGGGTTTTATAAAATGTATTATTATTATATGTGTTCCAAGAAGAGCACATTTATTTTCAGGTTATTTTTAAAGTCCCACTGTCCTTGAATTGTGAGAAGCTGTCATGTAACTGCTTTCATAATTGAAAAACACACAAACTCCATGATCTGTCATGCATGGGGATCAATATGTAGGCCAGTGGAAAAGTTTCAGTTCTTAGAGCTGAGAAAGTGAGTTGGTTGATAAAGTGTTTGCCACACAAGCATAAACACCTTGTCTGAATGCTAGCAGTCAGGTAAAAAGCCTAGTAAGGTGGTGTGTGCTTAGAAGCCCAGGGCTAAGGCTATGAAAGCGCTTGAATTCCTGGAGCTTGCTGGCCACACACACTATAGAATATTTCCCCCAAAGTTTTAGCTCTGTACAAAAAACCTAGAAATTAAACTTATGCTCTTATTGTATATGAATATCAGAAATGGGGACTATGGAGCTTGCTCAATGAATAAATGTTCTTGCCACCAACCCTGACAACTTGAGTTCAATTCCTGGAACCCATATGATGAAGGGGAAAAAAATAATCCCTGCAAGTTGTTCTCTGACCTCCACTTGTATATGTTCATATATGCGTATGTTCATATATAGTATATGTTCATACATGTGTGTTCACATACCTACATTTATAATAAATGTAAAAATGTTTTAAAAATCAGAAATAATAACTTCTTTACTCAATTTCATTATTAATTCAGCAGGTGAATGGATGATGTTAGCCATAAGCTGAATCAGCTACTGTCTCATTGCTGTAATTAGATACATTTTATCATGAATTTAATAACATGTATTTACATTGCCTTTATCAGCAACCTAAGGATGAAAGATTTATTTTGGTTTAGAATTTGGCTTATACAATTGATTATGATAAGGAGTGAATGACTGATACAATCAAATGTGGTCGGGAGTGTATGGCAATGGGAATTTGCTTATACCTACATGTATCAAGAAGCAGAGTGCTCATCTAATTGTCTCCATTTCTTTCTTTCTCCCATGTGTATGTGTGTGCAGTATGTGTTCTTGTGTATGGGCATGTGCATATGGAGGCATGAAGTTGATGCAGAGAGTCTTCTTTGATCACTCTCTACATTATATACTGAGACAGAGAGTCTCCATGTGCCAAGAGCTTGCTGACAGACATTTAGTCTGTTAGTTACCTTATTCCACCGATCCTTCATCTACATTCTGAGGACCCATCCATCCTTCACATGGGTTCTGAGTATCCAAACTCTGGTCTTCATGCTTGCACAGGAAAGGTTTTAACCACTCGTGGAATGGTACCAACCATATTCAAGTACATCACTATATACATCTAGCTAGGTTAAAGATTAACATTAACATAGGGCTGGAGAGATGGTTCAGAGGTTAAGAGCATTGCCTGCTCTTCCAGAGGTCCTGAGTTCAATTCTCTGCAACCACAACCATCTGTAATGAAAACTGGTGCCCTCTTCTGGTGTATAGGAACACATGCAGGCAGACACTGTGTACATAATATATGTAGATGTTTAATAATTTGCTTTAGAGTCGGAAGACAAGGTGCAATAAAGCTCCGACTTTTGACAACACTGACTCGTATAGTCCAATCACATCAAATTTCAAGTTACTAGCTTGATGCCAATGAGGATGATATTGAGAAGACATAGCAGTCAACTTTAACAAGCTAGTATAAATTAGCTCCAATACACCACAGGAACTGAGAGTTTGAAAAACTGTCTCTCTCTCTCTCTCTCT